GGGAGTGTATAACCAAGTCGCCGGGTCTTGCACCCGAGGGAGAGTCTAGCCCTACTTGCTATACCCGACACAAGTTTTCTTCCATGCAACCATGCGACTCAAAGGGGATCTTCGATCCACTTTTTCCCGAACCCACATACCAACCACCAAACAAGGTGTTTGATCAACCATGCATCTCACACACCCACACTCATGACTTATGCCCATGAATGTGATGTCTCTATGCACAATGATACAATGTTCAATATGCTATGAATGACATATGAACAATCTCAACATATCATGATAAGTTATGTTCTAAGCATATAGATACCATATTTGTCACAAATTCAATATATCATAACATGCATATACCAACAATTGCATTTCCAATCATAAATCATGTCATAAGTCCATAATTTCACTTTCATAATCATAGGCAAGTGATATCACAACTTTTAGGCTAATAACACACCTAATCATTAAGGCATAATATAACACATAACGGCCCATGTAATAGCCCACGTAACGGCTCTTATCTAAACCACAAAATAGCCCATACAAACCACCATATAACAGCCCGTATATAGCCCACAAAATAGCCTAAAAACAGTCCGCAAAAATAGTCACAAAATCAGTCCATAACATGGCCTAAAAACAGTCCATAATTCAGCCCTTTAACAGCCCCTTAAACAGTCCAAATTCAGCCCCTTAACAGTCCCTAATTAGTGCACAAAACAGCCCCTAATTAGTGCACAAAACAACCCTTAATTAGTGCACAAAACAGCCCCAATTTCAGCACCAAAACAGTCCATTTGGACAGCCCACATATAAACCAATTTCAGCCACTAAAAGCCCACTTAAGGTAAGAATAAAACCAAGGTAGGAGGGAACCCTACCTCAATAGAAGTGTAAGAACTTCTATAACACCAAATCAACCTCAAAGCTTTGATTTTTCCCAAAGTCTCCTCTTGGATCTTCGGTGAAATCCACTCTTTTTGGTACGTACGCGTAGCCCTTGTCAAGGAGATGAACTTTGGCTCTTGGTCCGAGTTGATCCGAGCGACGGAACTTCGACAATCAGCGAAGGAGGATTTGTTTTCTCCCTTTTTCTCTCCCTCTTGCTCTCACACGTTGGAACCAGCTAAAATGCAGACATCCTTCAGCAAAATATCTGATTTAGCCCCTATTTATACTTTCCAATACTTGGCCCGAGTCGCGCCACGTGTCCCTCACTGATTCGGGTCCGTTTTTGCCCCGAAACGATTTATGTTTTACAGGTTTAAACTCAAAATATTTTATATAAACTTTATTTAAAATATTTTTCAAATTTTAAAATTTTTTATTAAAATTTCGTTTTTGGGGGTCACCGGACGCCCTCGCCTCAAAAAACGTGAAAAACTGGACTATCTCGGAATTCGACGAAAATTGACAGGGCAGCTAGATTTTGTGTTGCGAATCCAACAGTGAGGTCCGTTTCATCACACAAGGTCTAGAAAAATACCAGTTTTTCAACCCGCGCTATAATGGTAAATTGCTATTTTGCCATTTTTTCAGAAAAAAGTTAAAATTTTTCTTGAGTTTCACAATTTTTGATACAATCGAGAATTCCATTGTGGATGGCATAACCATCCTAATTTTAATCAACCGAAGTAATCATTTTCTTCATATTCTAACACATATAACCTTGAATGGCATAACTATCCTAATTTTAGTTGGAGAAATGAAAACACTGTTACACCTCATGCATCAATGTTATATACCCTGCCCATCCAACAAAACCAAAAAAATTTTTGTTTAGGGTTCCGTCAATGAGTTCTCAATATCATAAACACGTTCCACAAGTGTTTGCACAAAACTCGCCTCATCATGGATTTGCCCCACAGTATCAACTAAATACATCTGCATACTAAAACCCTCATAAGAGAAATTTAGAGGACACATTACATCAATTTATATAGTCAAATGATAATGAATACTCAAAATTCAAAAGCCTTCAGCGACATTGCCTCTAATGCCACTCAAGGAAATGTGGAGCAAATCAAGTCTATCACTACCCTGAGAAGTGGAAAAGAAATTGCCAAAACCATTTTACCAAAAGTCTTTAAACCTACTGAAAAAAGACTAAAGAATAAACTAAAGAGGGTGAGAAACTTGATTAGCCTGACATTGTCAATCTAGATGAAAGTACTTGCTAAAGTATCCTATTCTTGCACATTATCCACAGAGAANAATTGCCAAAACCATTTTACCAAAAGTCTTTAAACCTACTGAAAAAAGACTAAAGAAGAAACTAAAGAGGGTGAGAAACTTGATTAGCTTGACATTGTCAATCTAGATGAAAGTACTTGCTAAAGTATCCTATTCTTGCACATTATCCACAGAGAATAAAAGTACCTGCTAAGATGACTAACACTATTGGAATTCTTGATGTGTTTAAGCAGGTAAATAACAACATTCCATTGCTTGATACCATATGACAAATGCCCTCATATGCAAAATTTTTGAAAGATTTATGCACTATCAAAAGCAAAAAGAATGTGCAAAAGAAAGCCTTTCTAAAAAAGCAGGTAAGTTCTATACTGCGGACCAACACTCCACCAAAGTTCTCGGATCCAAGTTTTCCTACCATTTCCATAATTATTGAGGACTGTTGAGTAGAGTCAGTATTCCTGGACTTGGGTGCAAGTGTCAACTTCTTGTTTTTTTTGGTATACGNGAGGACTGTTGAGTAGAGTCAGTATTCCTGGACTTGGGTGCAAGTGTCAACTTCTTGCCTTTTTTGGTATACTAGCAATTAGGGTTGGGGGAGTTAAAGCCAACCTTAATTACTCTCCAACTGCCAGATCGTAGTGTAAAAGTGTCAAGAGGAATAGCAGAAGATGTATTGGTGCAAGCAGATAGATTTTATTTCCATGTTGATTTTATTGTCCTTGATACTCATCCTGTTGTTAACGTCGCTGCTCCAATTCCAGTTATTTTAGGACAACCTTTTCTTGCAACCTCTAATACAACTATAAATTGTAGGAATGGTGTCATGAAGCTTGCATTTGGCAATATGACGCTAGAATTGAATGTCTTCAACATTAGCAAATAGTTAGGGTATGATGGGGGAATACATGAAGTTAATCTAATTGATACCATCATAGAGCAGCATGTGGAGCATTTCAGTGAGCATGATTTTGAGGAAATTGATTCAGGAGAAAGGCNACTCATCCTGTTGTTAACGTCGCTGCTCCAATTCCAGTTATTTTAGGACAACCTTTTCTTGCAACCTCTAATACAACTATAAATTGTAGGAATGGTGTCATGAAGCTTGCATTTGGCAATATGACGCTGGAATTGAATGTCTTCAACATTAGCAAATAGTCAGGGTATGATGGGGGAATACATGAAGTTAATCTAATTGATACCATCATAGAGCAGCATGTGGAGCATTTCGGTGAGCATGATTTTGAGGAAATTGATTCAGGAGAAAGGCCAGATTTGGAAACTGTTCGTGAAGTAGGCTTATGGTTGCCTAAATTTGAAAATTTGCAATCGATTGAGAAGAACATTTTTTCATCCACCATTCAATCACCGACATTGGAGTTGGAACCACTACCATCAAAATTGAAGTATGCATTCTTATGGAGTGGCGAAACATTTCCCATGGTGGTCAGTTTAGTAATGAACTTAGAGCAAAAAGAAAAATTATTGACTGTCTTGAGAGCGCACAAAGGAGCTATTGGCTGGACTGTAGCAGACATCAAGGTAACCAACCCCCTTATGAATCTCATGATGAAGGATGTGGTATGAGCTNGCACAAAGGAGCTATTGGCTGGACTGTAGCAGACATCAAGGTAACCAACCCCCTTATTTGTACTCATCAGATATATCTTGAGGATGATACAAGACTATCTTGACAACCAAAAAGACAATTGAATCTCATGATGAAGGATGTGGTATGAGCTGAGATTTTGAAGCTACTTGATGTAGGTATCATCTAACCTATTGCAAATAGCAAGTGGGTGAATCCCGTACAAGTGGTGACAAAGAAGTCGGGAGTAAAAAATAGGTAATTCCAACTCAGGTGGTGACCANTATTGCAAATAGCAAGTGGGTGAATCCCGTACAAGTGGTGACAAAGAAGTCGGGAGTCACTGTAGTGGCCAATGAGAAAAAATAGGTAATTCCAACTCAGGTGGTGACCAAGTGGAGAGTTTTCATTGACTATAGGAAGCTCAATTCCTGCACCCACAAGGATCACTTTCCATTTCCTTTTATTGATCAAGTTTTGGAAAGGGTGGCTGGTCACTTTTTCTATGCTTTCTGGATGGATATTCAGAATACAATTAGATTGAGATTGCTTTGGAGGATCAAGAAAAGACCACTTCCACTTGCCCCCTTAGGACGTTTGCTTATCGATGCATGCCATTTAGGTCATGCAATGCCCCAGGAACATTCCAAAGTTGCTTGGTATGGATTTTCAGTGACATGGTGGAGAAAATAGTGGAAGTGTTTATGGATGATTTTCCAGTGTTTGGTGATTAATTTGATATCTATTTAGAAAATTTGGAGAAAGTATTGGTTAGGTATGAGGAAAAGAGTTTAGTGCTCAACTAGGAAAAATGTCATTTCATGGTAACTCAAGGTATTATTTTGGGTCATATTGTGTCCACAAAGGTGATAGAGCCCGACAAATCAAAGGTTGAACGAATTTCTAATTTACCTACCCCTAAAATTACAAAAGATGTGCGGTCATTTCTTGGACATGTCGGGTTTTATAGGCNTGACCAAAACTTATCAGCTGGAAATTTGTTACCCTGATTTAAGATGGCAGAACAGAACAGATTTTGATCTATTCAAATTATTTCCTGTATGAGTTTTACTCTCACTTGTTTAGACTTAGCCTTTGTTTAAGTCATCTCAACTATCAACATTGACTATAATGAAAGATGACAAAAACCTTTCAGCTGAATCTTTGTTACCCTGATTTAAGATGGCAGAACATATTTTGATCTATTCAAATTATTTCCTGTATGTGTTTTACTCTCACTTGTGGATATTCTTTTGGGTTAATGCAATTTGGAATGATGAATCTGTTTAGGTTTCTGAATGCAATAGAAGCTAGGGGAGGAGCTCACTTTCTTGCAAAGAATGTGGAGTTAATGAATGTGAACCCTTGGAATGATCCCATTGGTGCTCTAATTCTTGGCATTCGTCAGCTTAGTCTCTCTGGTTGGAAGCCAGAAGAATGTACCGCTATTGGAAATGAACTTCTAACATGGAAAGAGAAAGGCTTTTTAGAAAGAGAAGGTATTTTCTTGTCTACAGGGTTTGATTTACTCAATGTAAGAGCACTTCCTAACATCCTTACCTATTCTAAAGGCAGTGAAGATGGTCAGACAATTTGGGCATTAAGGCTTAAAGCTACTCTTGATAGATCTAGGAGGCTGACAGAAGAATACTCTGAGGCATTTCTTCAGATATTCCCTCAGAAAGTCCAGGTGTAACTTTTGTTTTCTTGTTGGGATCAGATTTCTCCATATTTCAACTGAAGCTTCTATATCATATTGAATTTTCTTGTGTACTGACTTTGGCTCCAGAGTAAGATGCTTTTATTATACCTCATGCTAGAGCCAATGCTGCCCATATCATCCTTCAAGTTTATCCTAAACTTTCAATCAGTTCCTTATATTCCAATTGCAATAATGTTGCCTTCAAGTTTTACCTGTGATCCAATGTAGTTCCTCTGTCATCTTCTGTTAAAAACTTGGATGGGAATTTCTCGTGTGACCTGCATGTGACTTGTATTAAGAGCCATGTGTTTCCTGTTTGCCTACATGAGCTATCACTAACCACGAGGATTGCCAAATTGGCAAATCTGTACATACGCAAAGGTCCATAATCATGACATTAACAAACCTCCCTCTCTGTCATACGCCCAACTCTCTCTCCATCCTAACTAAAACCGATTATGATCCTTTTTAGAATTAGATTTCCTCAATTCTCTCCATTTTAGATCATCCTTTGTGTGTTGATCTAGAATTGAGGGAAGCTAGTATTGGAGAGAATCCAAGTCGAATTAGACACCCACCATCTTTTCTGTCTAAGCTGCCATGCCATTACAATCAACACTCAATAAATACCAATTGAATCAAGTCACCACCACCACTGCACAATCTCTGCTGCACAATATGAGTACTGCAAACACACACCAATAAGTTTATGATGAAGAATTAAGATAAAATAAAAACAGTTGGAAAAAAAATCACGGGTGATGGATTTTACTGACAACGTCAAGTGGTGGCCACTAACAACTTGTCATAAGTGAATGCAATCATCTTATTACCCATAAAATCCATTGTCAACCAGCAAAAAACTTATAATGTTCCGAAAGCATCCTCATTCTAACACGCATGCACACTATGTCTACAATTTCTTCTAACAGCCCATTTATTCAACAAATTCGTGTGATCCCAACACTCAATAATGGTTTTATAGGGATGAGAATAATTGTGTGATATGGTGGTGTTCATGTCACTGTATTGATGTGCATGCTTTGGATGCTGGCATTGATGGCTGGAATTATGGTGGTGATAGTTATGTTTTGGGCCATAGAGATAGTAGTTGTTTTGAGTTTTCAGGTAGAGAGAGAGAGAGAGAGGGTTAGGAGGGAATGATTGTGGACTTTGGAAAACTGGTGGTGGTTTGCTTGGCAAGAAGGAATACTGGATTTGTGAAATATGGTAGTGAGGATAGACTTTGGTGGTTGTGGGTGGCTGTGGTGGGAAGAGGTACAGAGGTGGTTTGAAATGGAGATGATTGTTGACTTTTTTAGAGAGAGAGAGATAAGGGGAGAGAGGGGTGGGGGTTTGGACTGTGATGGTGGTCGACTGGGTGGAGGAGAGAGTAAAAATGATTTTCTAGACGGGCACTGAGCTAACTTCATGAGTTGAAGAGTTGTACATTTGTATATGTTAAATAAAAGAAAGGACAAAACGCCCTTAATTTAAGTCGCAGGCAGGTCATGTAACTGATTTGTGGCTTAATAATTAACGATAGGTGATATAATGACATCATTGTAATTTGGGTGAAACTTGGATAATGTTGTTGTACCTGGAACATTAAGGATGAATTATAAATTCAGGGTAAAGTTGGAGACTGTAAAATGTAATGTGCCCTTTCTACAAATATTACTTCCAGAGAATCCTATTTTAGTTTGCAATCTCTATGTGCCATATTTGAATAGTGTCAAAACTCTATTAGTAATAGTTAGTGTCCCTGTCATACTTCTTCAGGTCATATTAGTCCCTCTAGACTAGAAATTTGTTGTGTCTTAGTGAGTCTTTTCTCTCCAGGATGAATTGCACTCTGTTCTAGACTATTGCACATATTAATTGGAGTTTTAATTAAGAGTTATTTCTGGCTTTTGCAGATGCTGGGAAAAGCTCTAGGAATACCTGAAAACAGTGTGAGGACATACACTGAAGCTGAAATTCGGGCTAGGTATCATAGAACTAATTCTTTTCCCACAAGTCAATTTTTAATGCTGCCTTCATTTACCATTCAGTCAGATAATTCCTGTTGTCACCATCTAACTTTCTACTGTTTGTCATCTCCAGTGTTATTTTTCAGGTCTCAAAACTTTGTACCCTTCTTCTAAAAGCTGTTAGGACTACACTTGGGTCTCAAGGGTGGGATGTTCTTGTTCCAGGTGCAGCTTTTGGAACCATAATACAGGTATTTGCTCTTACCAAGGTGCACAGAAATATTTTCTGTTTAGTGGTTATTTGAACTTTTCAATATTTGGATTTGAGCTTGCATTTGTTAACTGGATGCTGTCTATTATGTTTTAAAGTAGAAAACCGAAAAATGAAAACAAGTGACCTGATGCAATAAAATTGGGTAAATTGGTGCAATTACAGAAAAATTGGTGCCAAAAAAACTTAAACAAAATCAAATGGATAATTTTGTAGAACTCGAATTTTGAAATTAGCCTTGTCACATAACTCTTTTGTTATATCTTTTTATTTCAAAGTATATTCTCCGTGAAAATTATTATTGTCCATCTAGATTTTCAGATTTGTATTGGTTCCCACTATTTTTTTCCCCGGTAAGCGAGCCCCACTATTGTCAAAAAGAAAATGAACAATAAATCTCTCTCTCTCTCTCTCTCTCTATCTTTATCTCTCTCTCTCCTCCCTGTGTGCATGCGCTTGTTGCCTTATGTGTAGAACCCAATGCGACAATGTAGATGTCAACTGTTTCAATTAATGGCCAAATTGGCATACACAGAACCAAGTAGTGTTTGTTAGAGTTCTTACATTTTTAGTAATAAAGGGTAATATTGTAATTCTCATAATATCATGTTTAGTATAAATAAGAGAGTGTAGGGTAACGTACCTACACACATTATTTCTCTCAATCTCTATTTTCTCTTTCTCTTTGTTACTCTTTCTTGTTTACTCCTAATCTCAAGTTTACAATTTAACTTGGTATCAGACCATTGATTTGTGAGCCAATATCATGGTGCTAACATCATTGTCATAAGATTTGATGTCATGCCGACGTCACCATGATGTTAGCAGATTTCGACGACAGGATCCCACGCCCAGGCTTGAATTTTTGTGTTGAGAATGTGGTGATTTTTGTTTAATTTTTTGAATCCATATTGGTTGGTTTTTCTATTTTTGAATGTTTTTCTCGAAAATGTGTAGATTCCTCGATCTGTTGATTCCTTCCATTTTGAGGTGTTTCAATACTTTGATCCTCACTTAAGGCGTGCATTCCTGTGACCCTGTAGGTGATGGGTCTGTGTTTGCTATTTTAGGTTGGTTTCTTGTGTCCTACACTACTTTGGCTCTTGTGATGACTGTTGGTTGGATTTGAGGCATTGTGTAAGTATTAGCCCGTGTGTGCTGCCTAGTGTTGGAGTAGTTAACATATTTAGTCTTAAGGGTAGCTTAGTCCTTTTGTTCTTTTATGTTGCTCTACTATATAAGGGTCTCTTGTATGTATTTTTCTATTAAGCTGTACGCAATCATTCTTTATTTTTTCTCTTTTATCTCTTCTCCTAATTTGATGATATTTAACATGGTATCAGAGTATATTTCGATCCAAACATGATTAGCAACACAGTAACTTCATCGCAAGAAAAACCATCTTCGTCTCTGTTTTGGTGTTTGGCCGTTGGTGGATTGATCTCCATCTCCATTGCGAATTGTATTCAATCTTTTTGGGTTTAGTGGGTTTTGTTTGTGTTGTTGGGTTTGGGAAGAGAGGAGCAAAATCATCGTTAGTCCATTTTCTGATGTTTGTATGCGACATCCATTATCAAAGAAATATAATTGTCTCGTCCCTGGTTTATCACGTTGCTGGATACTTGAGTTTGCTTTTGTTCGTTGGGTTGCTTCTGCTCGTTGCTTCTATTGTTCGTTGTTTGTTGCTCCTGTTCGCAAGACAAATCTCCAAGTCTCTTCTTTGCTGCTTCAGTTTGCCCTTCTAGTTGCTACAGGTTTGTCGTTGTTCGCTGCTATTGTTCTGCTTTGGGTCTGCTCGTTGCTCGTGTTCGTAAGACAGGTTGCTGGTAGTTTGGGCTGAGCTAGAGTTTTGTTGTTCTTTCTTACTTTGGGCTCTTGGGTTGTGTGATATTTGTTGTTTGGGCTGTTGGACTGATTGATTAGGCTATTGTTCTCCAGTTTGGGCTTTGATTTTCCATTGGGCTGTAATTGTTGGGTCTGTTTGGCTAATATTCTAGTTGGGCCTTTGGTTGTTGGGTATGTTTGGCTTCTATTCTTGCTGGGGCTTTGAACTTCAGTTGGACTTGGTGGTTTGGAATTGGTTCAATTGATTTGATTGTTGTTATTTTTGACTAGTGATAATTATGGCGAGTGACAATTTTGGCTCTTATCTGTTGATTAGTTTAAAATTGATTAAGATTGCTGATCAATTGTAGAAGTTTCTTCAATAGCCTAATACTCTTTCCATCTCCCCTTCTATATATTCGTTCACTTCGGATCCTTCAGGTATATCTTGAACCGCCTGGGTGTTTGACTCTGGTGCTACCTATTATATGACTAGTGATTCTTCTTTATTTGCATCTACCTTTTCTCCTCTATCTGTTTCTGTGCTTGCAGCTAATGGTACACAAATGTCTTTGGTTGGTGTTAGATCTATAATTTCTCCGCATCTAACACTTCATAATCTTTATTATATTTCACAGCTTACTTTGAATTTAATTTAAGTTAGTCAGCTATTTGACTTTAGATTTTCAATTCATTTTTCCTCTTCTGAATGTATTGTATAGGAACTACATTCCAAGAAACTGATTGGGACAGACAGTAGGAAGGGAGGATTGTATGTATTAGACGAGTTACATATTCCTGATATTGTTGCTTCTACTATTGATTTATTTTCCTTTCATTTAAGTCCATATTCTTCTAGTTTCTATTTGTGGCATTCTCGTCTTGGTCATGTGTCCCACTCTCGTTTGAAATTTTTAGCCTCTATTGGTAATTTGGGTAATTTAGAGTATCATGATAGTTTACTTGCACCTATTGATCTAGTTCATTCTGATGTTTGGGGATTGGCTCTTGTTCCCATAAAAGGAGGATCTAAATATTATGCCTTTTTCATTGATGATTATACTAGGTTTTGTTGGATTTTTTTNTGATAGTTTACTTGCACCTATTGATCTAGTTCATTATGATGTTTGGGGACTGGCTCTTGTTCCCATAAAAGGAGGATCTAAATATTATGCCTTTTTCATTGATGATTATACTAGGTTTTGTTGGATTTATCTCATGAAACATTGTTCTAAATTTTTTTTTGTATTCACTATTTTTCGTGCTATGATACGTACTTAGTATTCATCTGTTATTAAATANCCTCCTGCTAGATTGTCTCATAGTCTTAGTTAAGTATGTTGACTACACCGAGCTTTATATGGCCTTAAACAGGCTCCCAGGGTATGGTTTGCCAAATTTTTTTTCAGTTATCTGTGACTTGGATTTTTGCACCAGTGACCATGATTCTACTCTCTTTTTACAGTCTACTTTCTCAGATTCTATTATTCTCTTACTATATGTTGATGATATGATTATTATGGGTGATAATACTGCTAGTATATGTTTATTAAAAACTCAGTTGTAGGGCCATTTTGAGATGAAAGATTTGNAATACGGTCCATCTGATTAATTCCATTCCCACTGTCATCATCTCTGGAATTTCTCCATTTGAGAAACTATGTGGTAAGTCACCTGATTATTTCTCTTTGAGTGTATTTGGATGCACCTGTTTTGTTTTGCCTCCTAGTGTTCTTCGTACTAAGCTCTCTGCTCGTTCAACTTTATGTGTTTTCCTTGGTTATGGTGAGGGTTAAAAGGGGTATCGTTGCTATGATCCTGTTTCACACAAACTCTATGTCTCTCGTCATGTTATTTTCATGGAGCATATTCTCTTCTTTTCTATTCCATTCGGTTCTTCACATTTACATAAATCTAATCTCATTTATATTGACCCATTTTTGGCTGATGTTCCTTCTGAAACTTATGTTGGTGATATGACTATTTCTAATGTATCCATCACTCGTCCCCCCATTATGCATACATATGTTCGCAGAAATCTAGCTATCTCCTCTACGGATATGGTGCCTCCCCTTTCTTCTCCAGCCACCCAATCAGGTTTAGACAATGTGGATCATACCCCGCGCTATCCTCAACGCTCTCGCAAATGTCCAAATAAGATTGGTTGGAGTAACACTTGTTATTCTCCAGACTTTTGTTTTTTCCTTACTTTTATTCATTCCTTATTTGAACCCACCTCTTACAAGGAGACTTTACTTGATCCACTTTGAAAACAGGCTATGGATGAGGAGTTGTTTGCCTTACATAAGACCAGAGTTTGCGAGCTAGTGCTTTTATCACATGGTAAACGCCTCATTAGTTGTAGGTGGATTTATAAGATAAAAACCAAGTCTGATGGTTCTGTAAAACGATATAAAGCTCGATTAGTAGCAAAGAGTTTTGCTCAGGAATATGGCCTAGACTATGATGAGACTTTTGCCTTTGTTACGAAGATGACCACTGTTCGCACCGTGATTGCAGTTGTTGGCATTCGCCAATTGAGTTTGTCTCAAATAGATGTGAAAATTTCCTTTCTTCATGGAGATTTAAGTGAAGAAGTTTCTATGACTCTTCCTGCTAGATTGTCTCATAGTCTTAGTTAAGTATGTTGACTTCACCGAGCTTTATATGACCTTAAACAGGCTCCCAGGGTATGGTTTGCCAAATTTTTTTCAGTTATCGGTGACTTGGATTTTTGCACCAGTGACCATGATTCTACTCTCTTTTTACAGTCTACTTCCTCAGATTCTATTATTCTCTTACTATATGTTGATGATATGATTATTATGGGTGATAATACTGCTAGTATATGTTTATTAAAAACTCAGTTGTAGGGCCATTTTGAGATGAAAGATTTGTGACAGTTTAGGTATTTCTTGGGCATTGAGATTGTTTCCTCTCCTAAGATTATCTTCTCTCTCAATCCAAGTATACTTCGGATGTTATTCAACAAGCCTGTTTATCAGATAATCAGAAGAGCTCAATGTTTGTTACTCTTCTTCTGATGATACTTCTTTGGCTGATCCTACATTTTATCGTGCTATTGTTGGGAGTTTAGTATATCTTACAGTAACTCGTCCGGACATATCCTATACTGTTCATGTTTTTAGTCAATTTGTTGCCTCACCTACCACTATTTACTAGACTGCTGTACTTCGTATTTGTCGGTATCTTTGAGGTACTCTGCATCAGAGTTTGTTATTCTTCTCCTCCTTTTCTATGGAACTCATGGCTTATTCTAATGTCGACTGGGCTGGGGACTCTATGGACCGTAAGTCAACTATTGGCTTTTGCCTTTTTCTCGGTGATTCTCTTATTTCTTAGAAAAGTAAGAAGCAAATGGTTGTTTCTGGTTCATCTGTTGAAGTTGAATATCATGCTATGACGTTTACCACAGCTGAGATAGTTTGGTTACGATGGCTCCTTGCTGATCTTGGCATCATGTTATCTGCGCCGATTCCTATGTATTGTGACAATACCAGACCTATTCAGATTGCTCATAACTCAGTCTTTCATAAGCACACAAAACATATTGAGATTGATTGCCACTTTGTGCATCATCATTTTCAGTTAGGCATTTTCTCCCTCCTTTTTTCTTTCTTTCACTATGCAATTAGCAGATTTTTTTCACAAAATCACCTACTATTATTCGCTTTCATTTTCTTCTTGGCAAACTTTTGATGTTTTCTTCTATCACATCATAAGTTTGAGGGAGGGTGTTAGAGTAGTTAGCATATTTAGACTTAAGGATAGCTTAACATTTTTAGTCTTAAGGGTAGCTTAGCCTTTTTGTTCTTTTATGTTGCCCTACTATATTAGGGTCTCTTGTATGCATTTTTCTATTAAGCTGTAATGTAATCATTCTCTATTTTTTCTCTTTTATTCCTTCTCCTAATTTGATGATATTTAACACCTTTGACCGGCTAAAACTCTTGTGGGTATTTTACTGGCTTTTGCTATATTTGTTGATTTTCTAAGTTTGCTCATGTGATTCGAAGTGTTGGGTTGTTATGGTGTATTGTGTATTGTGTGGGTTGTTGTAGTGTATTGTGTATTGGGGAAGTTGGTTACTGGTTCAGAATATTGTGTATTGGGATGTTGCGGTGTATTGTGTGCTGAGTTTGTTGATTGTTGTTGTAGTATACTGCACATTAGACAGGCTTGCTTGGCTTCTTTTTTTTTTTTTTTTTTTTGGATTTTGTGTTTATTCGTGGTTGTTTGAGGCTTATTAGCTTCTTATTCCTTGTTCTTGGTTGTTGAGAATCTTGGTAGGCTTGCTTTGGCGCCTACATTGCTACGTTCGGTGTTTATTTATTTGTTAATAAATGGCTATCAATTGAATACTTGAAGCTTCCAATTCAAATTTGGGTATTCTCTTGGTCCTTTCTATATTTATTTGTGATTGCTGACTCTTGGTGGGTTGTATAATCAATTGTGGATTTCTTAATGGCAACTTTGTACGGTAGTAATAGTGGTGTTCGTCGTGGTGGCCATGAGTCATTCCCCAATGTCAATCGTGCACAAGACGTAGTGGAATGTGGTGACACCGAACACACGGAGAATTATTGTTGGGATAAGTATGGGAGGCCAATATATGCTAACGAGGCTTCCCTTNTTTTTAGTCTTAAGGGTAGCTTAGCCTTTTTGTTCTTTTATGTTGCCCTACTATATTAGGGTCTCTTGTATGCATTTTTCTATTAAGCTGTAATGTAATCATTCTCTATTTTTTCTCTTTTATTCCTTCTCCTAATTTGATGATATTTAACACCTTCGACCGGCTAAAACTCTTGTGGGTATTTTACTGGCTTTTGCTATATTTGTTGATTTTCTAAGTTTGCTCATGTGATTCGAAGTGTTGGGTTGTTATGGTGTATTGTGTATTGTGTGGGTTGTTGTAGTGTATTGTGTATTGGGGAAGTTGGTTACTGGTTCAGAATATTGTGTATTGGGATGTTGCGGTGTATTGTGTGCTGAGTT